GGGGCAACATCTAGGAACAGGACGCAAATCACAAGGCCCACAGAGACTGAGGTCAGACTTGGATCTCACTTGGTCTGATCACAAAGCTGGGGATCTTAATAAGCCTTTGATCAGAGAGAGAAGGTACTTTATAATACTGTCATTAAGTATGAACCATTACAAAATAACATAACTTTTTCACTATTAGAGCTGCAAGGGGAACAGAAAAATTCTGTCACTTCAATCTTACAGTTTCCCAATAGGACTAAATACACACAAGCTGCTTAACCTAAGTCAAAAGAGAAATACTAATCCTGAACATAGAGACATCAACTATCTTTGTTGCATTGCCACCTATCTGGAGTTAAGCATCAGAAGGAAAGAGCAATCTTGCAGGAGGGACTGCACTAGGAAACAGAAAACAACAGATGGGTATGTCATGCTTTCCCACGGCATTGCAGTTATCCTGAATACACAGCCTCATGAGAGACAAAACACAAGATACCCTGGTCTTCTAGACAGCTTTGCAATTTTTGATGCTGATTCAAGACTTGAAACAGCAAACCCCTGGATTGAGGGAATTTAAGTTCACAATTTGTTCTGTATCAACTTTTTTTTTTTTTTTTAAAAAAGAAAGACAAAAATTAAAGGGGAAGGTTTATCTATACAACCAGTATTATTTTAGCACCTATTTTAAAAGCTACACAACTCCCATGGCAAAAGGAATGTATTTTCCAAAGCAGAAGAGTCGCAGCTTTAAAGTTTTAATCATAATAAGAAGCTGGCAGAATCACTCTGGTCCAAAAAAAAAATATTTTAAATACTATCTTTCAAGTCAGAAAGAGCACTTGTAACTATCAGACATGCGTTTTCACTCAAGATGGTCTAGTACAGCATCTGGCTCTCATCTGCTGTTGCTACAGCCACCCCTTCCCATGCATGTCACTCATTCTCCCTGATTTTATTCCCCCGCTTATAGTTTGTTCTTCTTCCTTATCACACAGGAGTAGGTAAGACACAGGTATGAAGGCTGTAAGGCATTTAGATTTTAAATCTAAATATTACATCTAAGCAGATACCTAAACTAAACACGGAAAATAAACAGAGCATAGATTAAAATAGCACAATAATAACACAAGGACCAAAAAATTATCATCTCTGTCCTGCAAAGGCCTGAAGTTAAAATCACGACTAGGAGAAGCCTAAGCTGCTGCTTCAGAGAACTGGAAAAACCTGTAGGTTCAAAGTTGCTGTCTGTAAGCTTTTGAAATGTAGCAAAGGACACCTGATTTGGCAAACTAAGCATTTTTTGTTTTGCTCACTGTTGCATTAGCAAGCAGAAGGGATCCCTGCCTCCATTAAAAAATACAATTTCTGTGTCTAAACCTTAATTTTGTTATCCTTTTAAATACTGAGAGTTCAAGCCCAGACCAACTACAATATATAATATGCTACTTACCTATTCTATTCTGTATTGGACATCAGTAATTCAAGTAGTCATTGCAAGAACACAAAGATATATATCACGTTACTATCTTTCTTTATCACCTGCTCTACCCCTCTCTGTATCTATGATTTGGTACTACTGCCTTCCCACTGGGCCTGCATATGTCTTTTCTCTATTTTTAAATAGCATAGTACTTTACGCTACCTTTATTCACTCATACTGTTTCAGGTTGAGTCCATTTGCTTTAAGTTCTGCATGCTGCACCACGTTTAAGATTGGTCACCCCTGTCAGTTCTGCATTATTGCAAAACTCACAGCTGAACTTCACAAACACCAGCCCAGCAGCAAAAACATCAACAAGAACCCTGCATTTCCTCTCATTCAACATTCCTCTGCTGTCCAAGAGTATTAACAGTGAGTTTTTTGTGTCCTTGTTTTATTTGCTGTTTTACTCGCCCCTGGAACAGCATTTCTCAACACTTTTCCAGCTGAACTCTGCTGCTGCAGCCTTCCCTCTTATTTCTGTACCTTCCCATCCCTATCCTCTGCTTTTTTTTCCCCCCCTTTCCTTGCACTTCTACACCTTCTCCCGTAAGAGCACCAGTTCTATATGGTCACCCTGTAACCTGGTGGGGCAAAGAGATACGAGGCTACAAGCCTAGATAAATCTGTCATTTCAGTCCCCAAAAGCACTCCCGAGTACCCCCCACCCCGGGGGCACAGCCAGGAGGGGGTGACAGGAATGAACATGGCAGTGCTCCTACGCAGTAAGAGCCAGTACCTGGCTGCACCTTGTTTGCAACACCTTGCACTCACTAGAAGGAAATTGCTGCTGTGTGGGGAGGTCTTTGGCACCCACAGCCTGCAGACACAAGCTGGCTCGCTCTTTTGGACTCCCTCTCGAAAGGACAACGTGTAAAGTGTTACTGGCAATCTTGCTGCACTGCAGTTCCAGTCAAGCTAAGGGCTGTCTTTTTTTCTTATTATCTGCACAAGCCAAACATGCAGCTCTAATTAGGAAAGCTCTAACTTCTCATTTTCTCTAATACAACCTTAAGCTTCAGATTAGTTGCATGCACAAGCCAAATATGATGTTCCAGGTGCAATCATTCACATTTAGTTTTCTTCAACCAGCTAAGCACAGGACAGGGAAAATAAAAACTGACAAAACGCTATTCTATCATGTCATATTTTATGTTACCTGCTGTCTTCTGTCAGGAAGGCAGAGCAACTGTATTCCAAAATACTACCCTAAGAAAAAGGTCATGTCTACACTGCAGAGGGACCAGAGAAAAGTGTAAGCTCAGCCAACTAACATCTGCAGAGACTGGCTGAGCTACAGCCAAGGCATTTTCAGACTGACACCACTGTGGGAGGAGAGATGGCCCATTACAGATGTATGGGAAATGTCTGCACAATAAAGCTTCATTGCTCCATGAGCAAGTTTTCCTTAAAAAACGCAACACATGGGTTTAAACTGCACTGACTATGAGACACTGCTAGCTTCTGTTCTGTTGGGAGCTGCACAGCAATCTACCCATCAAGAAAAGTAAATTAATATTAGATATGGAAAAGATTCACCAAAGCCAAGTTACCATTGCCCAGGAAACACACATACCACTGAAGACTGTAAGTTCTTCTTTGCCAACACAAGGGGAGCTGCCCAGAAAGACACATAAGTACTTGGGCACAGCAGACATGCATCTGCTGAGGAATTAACCATTCATCTTCTTGCAACCTACTTCCAATAGTTAAATTACATTTATGTATTCTTGTCTACTACCAAACAAGCAATTTCAAACTGAAATACACACCCTTGTCTGTTATTACACCACCTAAAATGAAAACTAAAAGGAAGCAGAAACATACACAAAAATACTCAGTAGGTATTAAATGTTGCAACAAATATTTTGGCCTTTAGGCAGACCTTATATTTGCCCTTTTATAAACCTACAACTGCACTCAGCTTCTTGGTCACACCTTCTAAATCTCAGTGAGCATTCGGTCAGACACAACTTCCTACCACCAGCAGCTCCCGCTGGTATGACAAACAGTATTGCATCAGTGAGACAGCACCAAGAGCTATGCTGACAGTCATAGTGTTTGAAGGACCAGCTCTTTATTGAACAGGGAGGCTGCATCTTTAACGACATACGAATGGCATGGCTCCTCTTATGATGACTCTTCTCACCAAAATGCCTGTAGCACTGCACAAAAGACTTATTTGTTGCTTTCATTAGGCAAAGAAAAACATGGTACTCACTAACGCCTTGCTATCTGCACCACCAGACACCCATCGCAGTCACTCGTTGCAACCTGCCAGTCCCTTCCTTGTCAGTGATTCCAGTGTATCAGAACAACCATCTGAATTTGGGTTCCTTCCTTACAGATACGACAGTGCACACCTTTGCCATGTCAAGAATTCAGCAAAAAAAAATTTTTTTGCACACTGAAGAACATAGTTTATCTTTTCTAAATCAGGATCAAAGGAAAGAGACCTAAACAAGTTTTTTGTCCATCCTGTGTCTCTCAGTGGCACACAGGCAGCAAGGAGAGCCCATCAAAGACCACCAGACTGCTGCCTCCTCCTCCCCAAGGCCTGTTATATTTATTGTTTTCTTGAAGATTGTTTTCTAATGAGCCAACATGAACTCTTGCTTCTTCTTAAAAATTACTTTACAGAACTACTCCAGTAATGCTTAGACCTGCTGTTCTAAAGTCCAGATCGCTTCCTACTGCCATGTAACTCACCATCCACTTCAACTAAACCCTCAACAGTGCAGCGCCATGGTTTCAACACAGATTACTCCCGATGCCGAGGTCACAACCGGCCGATGGTCCCATCGGACAGGTGCAGTCACACGCCGGGTGACCGCGGCCACCTCCAAAGCAAGAAGGTGAGCTCCACTCGCTGCCCAGCTGCTCGCTGGACATGCCCCATCGCTGCAACGCACGGACAGATTACGGGACCCCGTCCCACCACCGCAATCCATTAACAAGCCACGGGACCCCGAAGAAAACGCTGGAGACTCCGAGTTTAAATTTCCTGCCGAGGGGACTCAACGCTGCTCCGAAAGGCCGCGGAGCAGACCTAAACCACATATTTAGCCCGGTATTATTTAACGTGTTTAGCCTCGTAGTATTTAAAGCCCAGTGCCGGACGGCGGCGAAGGGAGAGCGGGAGCCCACCTCCCGTTTCCCGACCGATGCCAGAAGCTCCTGGAGACGCCGCCGCTGGACACGACCCGCCGCCAGCCCTTGCCGGGGGCCCCGTGGAGGGATGCGGGCACCGCTCGGCCCCCGGGCGGCCGGGCCATCCCGGGGTTCCCGCACGGCCGAGGGGCTGCGCCGACACCGGGGACAGCGGCAGGGCCAAGGGGGCAGCTGATGGCGCGGCGCAGGCGGCGGCGGGATGGCCGCGCCGCTCCGCTCCGGCGGCCCGCTCCTGTCTCTCGCTCCCAGCTCCCGGCTCTGGCTCCCGGCTCCCGCTCCCGCCCCATTCCGCCGGCGCACACACCTGCCCGGTGCCCCCCCCTCCCTCCCCCTCCCCGCGCTGTCAGTCGCACCCACCTACCCCACTGGCCGCCGCCGCCGCCGCCGCCGCGGGTCCGGCGCGCCCCGCCGCCGCCCCCGCGCCGGCAGCGGCACGGCACGGAACGGCACCCCCCCTTCCGCCGCCCCTTGCGCGGGCTCGGCGAGGAAGGAGGTGGAGCGGCCGCGGGGAGGAACCAGGAAGTGAACGGCGGCGGGAGGAGGCAGAGCACACCCTGCCCTACCCTGCCCTGCCCGGCCCACGGGCGGACACCGGCACCGGGTGCCGCCGGGGCGCGCCTGTGCCACGGGCGCGTCTTGGGCGTGCGGGAAACGCGGGTTTTGTGAGGGGAAAAAGAACCCACCACTTTTTTTGTTTTTATATGGGAGCAGATGGTTCTGCCTCGCTGCGCTCCTCTGAGTCCCCAGCCACGTTCAGGGTGGTTTCGGTTTGCAGGTCTCCAAAATCCTGCGGCACCCAAGAAGGAGCGGGCGCAGTGGAAGGCAGTGAGGATGACTGGGGGGCTGGAGCATCTCTCTGGGGAAAGGCTGAGGGAGTTGAGCCTGTTCCTCCCCGAGAAGACTGAGAAGGGACCTCATATATTTGTATAAAATATCTAAAGGAAGTGTGCCAAGAAGATGGAACCAGGCTCTTCTTGGTAGTGCCAAGCAATAGGATGAGAGGCAATTGGCAGAAACTGATGCACAGGAAGTTTCCCCTGAATATGAGGAAGAACTTCTTTAGTGTGGGAGTGATTGGGCACTGGAACATAGAGGTTCCCAACATAGGTTGCCTATAGAGGTTGTTGATCTCCCTCACTGGAGATACTCAAGAACCGTCTGGACACAATCCTGTGCCATGTGTTCTGGGATGACCTTGCTTAAGCAGGAAGGTTGAAACAGATGACCCACAGTGGTCCCTTCCAACCTTACCCATTACATGACTCTGTGACAGAGCATACTGCTGCAAGTGTCATGTTTGGAGCCAGAGCAGGGGTTGAGTTTGCTTGATACTCTCCACCTTCAGTATTTGTGGCCTCACCAGGCATTAATCACACGGTGTGAATCCTTGCATTCCAAAGGGTTCCCTCAGGCTGGCTTTATTTTAGCAAAAGCATGTCATTCATTTACCATAATGAGGCTGGAAGAAAAGACATTGCTTTGCCTTTGTTAAAAAACAAACAAATAAACAAAACAACAAAACAAAACCAAGAAACGAGTGCCATTCTTTTTTGTCTGGTAGCCTTCACTACAGCCTTGCGCTGGAATTTGAATGCCCTCAGAAATAAATGCTCTTTAGAGCAAGAGGATGCCTTCTGCCCTCCTGGAGGAAAAACAAGCCAAACCTAGGCTTTTCCAGTCTTTGGAAAACTGCTGTCTGCATGTGAACAAGATTTGCTTTGGTCTCTGGATATGCAAGAATTTGACTAACATTAGGTAGAGTCCAGGCTGGGATGGCAGAGGGGGAAAAAGTCTAACAAGTCGTTTTTTCCTTGCAGTCAGAACTGTGAGTGTCTGTGGACTGAGCCATGAGACAGGCAGGACAAGGAGCCAGAATGTCATCTCCCTGTGCTCTCAGTGGAAATCATTGTGTGTGTCTGCCTTACCACGGTGTTTCAGATCAGGAATTCACATTTACAAGGGAATTTCTAATATCTTACTTCTTGTTTGTTTCACACTGTGGAATGTGAGGCCACAAGTATCACACTTAATGGGTCAATCAAAGGGTCCATCTGTGCTGGACAGCAGCACTGGCAGATGCTATTTAGAGAGAACACACAAACCAGGTCCCTTTCATGCATGGGCACTGCCTTTGTCTGGCACTCCCCTGGCCCAGGAAGGGGGTCTGGCCCTGCTCACCTCCCTAGGGTGAGCGGGGAGGACAAGCTACCCAAGCCTCAGCTCCCAGCTCAGGCCAAGCTCCACCACTGGCTCTCCCCACTGAGAAAAGTAAGCAACCCCCATGCAACAACCCTAGTGCCTGGAAACTTTTGGATGCATGTAAGCCACGGGAAGCGTCCCAGAAAAGCATCTGCTCTGCTCTGACTGTTAACAGATGTGCAGTCTGCCAGTGGGACCTGATCAGAGCTAACCCAAGCTAAAATCTCCAAAACATCCCTTGATCTTGAGGTTTGTTCCTACTGCATCACGCCGCCTGCTCAAGTAGGCACAGCCAGGAATGCTCTGTGGACTTGATCGGGGAAGTTGTGGAGAGCTGGATAAACTCTGGCAGTGTGACGTGTAGTCCTCGGGAGCCATGGGTCATTCTCATCCAAGCGAGCATCAGCATTAAGTCACACAGCAACTTTTAAAATACTCTGAAAGTTATACACAGGAGCTGTGCAAAAAGGTGTGAAACTTACATTAATGACTGTTATGAAGCTTTCAATTAAGGCTGTCCAAAAAACCCCAACCTTTTATTACTGTTTTAATATATAATGTGAGTTTTTAATTACATTTCCCATGGATATCTGGCACAGCACTAACAGCACTCTCCTAAACGAGAGCATCTGGTTTCTTCTCTGATAACGCACCAACCTTCCCTGCACACCACACCTTGCTCAGACCCTTCCGAGATGAAAACTCTACAAGAAAGATGAGGAAATGCGAAATTTATCAGTACGCTATACCTTCCCGAGCACTCGGGCATTTCCACGGGAGCTTTTGGCAGAGGGCACCACCGGGCAGGCGCCGCCTGTTTGGTTTAACACGAAGGCTCGCTTTCTCGGAGGGGGACGAGGAGCAAAAGCCATAAACTAAAACACAAGCATCGCATCAACATGAGGAAGGACTTATTTCCACTGAGGACGGCAGAGCGTTGGAACAGGCTGACCAGGGAGGTCGTGGAGACGCTCCACACCCACCTGGACGCGCTCCCGTGTCACCCGCTGGAGGTAACCCTGCCTTGGCAGGGCGGTCGGGCTGGGTGATCTCCAGAGGTCCCTTCCAGCCGATGCGAGGTGCCGGTGGCGGTGCGGGCTGGGCTGGCGGGACAGCAGCTGTGGATAGCCGGCAGCTCCCCGGGCGGAAGGCAGGAAGGGAAGGCAGGAAGGGAAGGCGGGAGCGGCTCTGCGCAGCTGCGGCCCGGGGGCGGCGGCGGGAATGGCGTCCGTGGTGCTGAGCGAGGCCGAGAAGCTCTACATTGTGCACGGCGTGCAGGTACCGGGGCGGGACGGGGCGAGCTGCAGGGTAGGCTGGGGAGGAAGGGAGGCCGGGGAGGAAGGGAGGCCGGGAGCCCTCCGTCGCGGTGTCTGGACGCGAATCTCGGGGGTGGTAATCGTCCGGGCACGGTGAGCGTCAGAACGGGAAGCCGGCTGAGAAGCAGAACGTGGGTTTGGTTTCTTTCACTTCTGTCCCCCTTTACCTATTTTTTCCTTGCTCTTTCCACCTCTTCCCTGGCACTTTCTCAAGTTTTTGCCGTTTAGTAGAGTTTTAGCCTGCTGCTCAGCAAAGGAACGTGAGTGGACCAAGGAGGAAGAGTGAAGGATGTGTGGGGAGAAACGCCGGTGATAAAAGGACTGTATTTTTACTGAATTTTGCCGAAAAGCATCCTATTTCTATGGAGGCGAGTGTATAGTATCAGAGGATGCACGATACCCGTTTTTGAAATACACATGAAAACATTTGGAAGGCCAGTGGGATATTTTTGTCTGCTGGGCCCTAATTACTGCTATAAAAGTACAAAACTTGTGCATCCCAGGAAAGGCCTGATGTAGTCTTAAGTAAAAGTCTGTGATGAAACTACGAGCTGATGCTTTTATATCATTTTTACTGCTGGTTTGTATAGGAGAAGGAAAGTTTCGAGTCACAGAATTTTTTTTTTTTTTTTTAACTTTTCATTACTGATTCCCTTAAGCACAATATATATGATTGCCATGCTTAGGAGGACCTGCGTGTGGATGGTCGCGGCTGTGAAGACTACAGATGTGCAGAAGTAGAAACAGATGTTGTATCAAACACAAGCGGGTCTGCAAGAGTGAAGCTGGTAGGTAAATTTCTTAGGGATTGTGTGCCTCGCTGATGAAGTTTCTAGTTTATGTGACTGGTTTTAAGATAAGCTGAGGTTATTTGTGTGTGTGCATAGCAGTAACTGAAACTATGGGTTAAGGAAATAATTACAGGACATATAATGCATTTTTGCTTAACTATTATCATGATGATGAAAAAAAAAATCCAGCAGAGCTGGATTTACCATGAAGTGCCTGGACAGCCTTTAGTTTGAATTGATCTGACATTTAATCTTGAAAACTCAAATCAAATCACCGTTGTGCCTAATCCCTGGGAAAAAAATAATTCTACTACTTTAGAGTGAAGTGAAATTACTTTTGTCATGTGCAATATTTTAGTGGTTCTGCAGTAAGAGCTGTTTCCAGAACCAAAATGACAGAAGTAGTCTTGGATATTAAGAGTGTATTTTTAACTTAGAGAAAGTTAATATGTATGGTAACTATCTGAAGAATCTTCTTAAGCTTAATATTGTTCTTTTAAAGCCTTTCCTTCTTTAAAAAATTCAATATTATTTTAAGTTCACTCTGATAGAACAATCAGATAACTGAAAGGTAGAAATATAAGCTTACTATAGACGTTTAAATTAAACAAGTAGTTCTGTAACTATAATTTTAGTTGTGTGATATGTTTTTGTTTTAACAGGGAGACACTGATGTCTTGGTAGGCATAAAAGCTGAAATGGGGACACCAAAGTTAGAGAAACCAGATGAAGGTTACCTGGAATTCTTTGTTGACTGGTTAGTATATTAGAAAAAAATTAAATAGATGTAATATTTGGAATAAATGACTAATCAGATCTTGCCATTCTTCTGAACTTTATACCTTTATTCCACTAACCTCCGGTAGGAGTCTGAGTAAGAGAAAAAAGTTATTTTACTATCCCTATAGCAGTGAATGTTCAGAAACTTTATGCTGGTTCTGCAGACCCAAAATAAGCAAATCAATGGGAGTTAAAGAATGAAACCAATCCCAAACTGCATAGCATCACTGCAGCTGGGAAAGAGTAATGGTTCAATCACAGATGCATTTAACATGACTTCATGACTACAGTGTCAGCTGTTGTTTCTACAATGACAGAATAGAGAAAATCTCTTTCAAAAAAAGTAAATATTCCAGAAGAAAAGAACTGACTGCTAGAGACTGTTCTTTAACTGTACTTAAAGGTTTGCTTGCTTTGTCTGATAAAGCAGTGGAAAAAAGGTTGAAGTGTGTTTTGTTCAAATTCATTTGTTTAAAAAAAGAAAAATCTCCAGTATGAACTTGAGATGCAAAAGCTAATTAGAAAATTTAGTTATGCATTTATCAGAGAATCTGTGTTTCATTAACTAAAATGGTATTTGTTTTAATCATATTCCTTGCTTTTTTGCTACAAGTGCACTATTGTTTATCCTTACAGTCTTCATACTGCTCAAATTATGAAGGAAACTAGAAGAAAACTGAGAACTCTTACTTTCTGGTTGCTCGGAGATAGCATAGTGACATCTCAGTGTTATGAGACTATCCACGTCTTGCAGACTTCCTGAAAATTGTTCTTTATGAAATAATGTGTTTTGGGAACCTCTCATTAAAGCCTTGGCACTGTCAAGTAGCTGTTTTGCATGTGATATTTCTTTTTATTATAAATAGAAAATGTTTCTACTCTGACCTTAAACCAATATACTATTGGTAAAACTAACATATGATAGCTACAAAGTAAATTTATATCTGGTAATCTTTCTAACCTAACTGGCTGCATCTACCTTAACATTTGTGTGTCACATCATGCAGCCTTGTCTAAGACTACCTCTGTACCTCATGATGTATTAGTAAACTGTGGAAACCTTGTGCACTGTAGAGGAAAGGACTCACCTATGAATGGTTTGTCTGCGATTACTATTCAAAAAATACCAGGTGGGAAGATGATCTTGAATGTGGTCCTGCTATTACAGGGGATCTGAGCTTGACTGCTTTATGAAGCTCATGCTTGAAATATCCTAAATATATAGGGGACATTTCCTTACTAAAACAAGTTGGCTGGGGACATGTGGCAATTCTGTGACACTTTTTGCATATGTAAATAAATGTTAGAAAAACTTCAACTCATTACATTAACGTTAGGTTGTATTTTCTAAGTGTTAATCTCTGCTTCGTAAGGTGGAAGATGTGGAGCAATATTGTGCAGGATGGATTTTGTCAGTTCTGGAAATCGGTAATTGTTAATTTCTGTGATAACACAGACCAAAAGCCCAAACTTCAGAGAAGTGTAGTCACTTTTTACATGCTTGTGCTACAGGGAAAGGTGTCCTTTAGCCTCCAGAAAGATCCAAAAGACAAAATGTGAAGTGGAGGCAGCTTGTTCTGTGTAAAGGGAAATGAGCTGCTGTTAGTACTCTGATGCTTTTCCAGGCTGCCACTGGGTGGTAGTAACTGCACATAGTTGGATACCCTGCATCTCCTGGTGAAGTTTGTCTGTGTTCTACTTGGCTTTTATGTTGCTGAAACTAATAACAGAAACTCAGACTGCAGTGATTATTATCTTAAATTGCTTATTTCCCCAAACTTCCATAGTTTTTTTTTCCTGATTAAAATAATCACTTGCTGGATTAGATATATTTCTCTGCCCCAGAATTCTGTTTCTCTTTATTCTGCTCTGAGTCCTTTACTTAAAATCTGAGAAGCACATTTAGTCACATTTTGAGATAGACTTTAATGCCAGTCTCTGGAAGGGATGATATTTCGGGCACTGATTTGTGAGCCTGGAAATTAATTATCATAGATGAAGTCCATGTCCTCTGTGATATCCTTACTGCCCATCATTACTGGAGAGGACATTCATCTTGGCCATTGATGCTGAAGACTGCTACGTGTGCTTTTCTCACATTTGAGTTTTGGGGCTGTTCTGAGTTACCATTTTCTAACTGTAAGAAATAACAACAACAACAACAACAAAAGCAGACATCTGAATTCCTTGAATGCATTTGATTCTGTTTGTGGAATTAGGAACATATTTGTTCAAGTGTGTCCATCTGTAGATTACAGTATATTAATGGCCTAAGCAACAGGTGTAAAGTGCTTAACTACTGTGAGAGAAAGGTTTTTCTGCTAACAGCAAGAGTTTTGAAATTGAGCAGAAATCTGTGGTAGAAGCATCATTATTCTTTAGGAGGAGTCTTGATTGTTAGGCAATGTAACACTAAAATGATCTTGATAGTCTTGAAAGTTACATTTCGTTCGGGAGTAGAAATTCTGTGCCACTTCTAAGTTCTTTGTATGCCCCATAAACCAAGTTTTTTTGAATTTTCTCTTTCTATCATGTTAGACAACCCCTTTTCAATTTTTGCCCAGTATATTACTGTAATAATCTATAGGCATTAGGTGGCAGTATCTACCATATAGTTATTATAATAGTACGCTGCTAACCTTACTTCTTTATTTTGCTTTGATTGCATGGAACTGAAGTGTTAAGATGGAATTAAGATGCAGTGAAACATGATATTCCAGTTGAGTGTTACGTTCTTGCTACTCGCTGTCAGTGTCCACTTACAGCCAAAAAATACAACATTTGATAAAACTTTGTATTTAGAAATAGTAACGAGGCATAGATTGAAGTTTGTATAATTCTTTTCGGCTTATCGTAGGGATCATAATGCTTGCATAACTGTGCTTCAAACGGAAAGGTTTAAACAGAATGATCTAGTTAACTTGCATAAAAGCTGCTTCCATGGATAAGGGCTCGTTTAATACAACCTGAAGACCTGACTCAGCACTGAGTTATACTCAGATGTGATATGATCTTATAAAATCAGTGGCTGATATTAATACAACTGTGAATAATATTGTGTGTCATACTTGCAGTGCTTATTTGTGTGGAAGCCTAGGTCAGTGCTTGATTGGCAGCAATGCTTTTCCTTGTTTTTTAAGCATGTATGGTGCTGTCTATTTACAGTAGCAGCAGATAACTTTTATAAAATCCAGTAGCTCTTCCTGGTATTCTGAGTTTTCATAAACTGCAAAACAAGTTGGGAGAATCACCGTAATTCTTGTAGGTAAGAGTAATAGTAGGTAATCATATATAAGCTTAGAGGTTCTGCAGTATTGTTGATACAGTTCACTTGATGATTTAGGTCATGCCTTGATAATGTGACTCTTTAGTTAGTTTTTGGGTTTCTTTTTAAGGTGAAGGGATTCTATTCCACGACTTAGTTTTCTGCTGTTATTTTTGTACTCCTGGTGTGCCTGTTAGAAAAGCTAAGGTTTTGTATCAGCATATAAACACAGAACATGCAGGACAAGTTGGCACTGGGAAGTACCCAGCCAGGAAAATAGAGGGCTTTAGTATTACAGATTTGGAACATACCGAAACTGCTTCTGTGGAACCACTTCCTTTCCTATGTTCTGCAATGAGAAATTAATTTGGGAGAGGTGTGACTGATTTATTTTAAAACAACATTTGCAATGCTGCTACAGGTCCACTGCTTGAGAATACTCTTCTCCTCTCTATAAACCAGAGTTTGTGTTCAGAATCTTTGTTCATTACTTGGCAGTAAATGCATCTCTGGACATTTCTGCTCTATTTTATTGTGCTTTGGGGGAGAGGCATTTTTTGTTTGGTTTGGGTTTTGTTGTTTGGGGGTTTTTTTTTGATTTGTTGGTTTGGGTTGGTGTGGGGGTTTTTGGTGGGTTTTTTTGTAGACCTGTTTTCTTTTATTGTTAGAAATTTGTTCTTAGCTGTGTACAAGGCTCCAGTACCTAAGGACTTTCTTGTATGACTACTCATAAATAAAGTTAGTTAGGTTGGAATCAGGGAAGTGAAGACCAGAGACTTCTGTCAGATCTCCTCTCGAAAATATGTTCTTTAGTTGCAGCTCTCCATAAGCTCTGGTTGCTGAGAATAATGAGCTGCTTTCTGTAAGGGGCTTGATAGCATACAGTACCCTTCAGTAAAGAAATTACCAATTAAGGTCAGGCAGTCATGTTACTTTAAAAGAAATGTGTATTCTACTTGTCATATCATCACATCTTCTTCTTAGCCACCCTCTTAATAATTTAACATTCAACTCTCACCAGACTGTCTTGTTAGCTGTTCTGAACTTAGCACAGATTTCTCTCGCTTTTTTATTTTTCTAAAGGGTTGAGGTGAGAGAAGATGGCGGTGCTTAAGAAAGAATTCACCAACTTTAGCATTGCAACTTGGGAACTGCAGATAGCGCTGGAATTTAGATAGTATCAGTATTTGTAACAAAATGTCGGTATATTATCTGCATCAGGACATTCTCATATGCAAAACAGGAATAATTTCTTTTCAGATAGGATGCTTATTCTCATACAAATAAATCCTTAGATATTTTTAATGCTCTGTATTTAAGAAATGTTCTTTGGGTATTGGCTGCTTCAGAAGTGAAAGTATGTTTTCTTTCTTTATCTAGTTCTTCAAACGCTTCTCCTGAATTGGAAGGCCGGGGAGGAGAAGAACTTGGCACAGATATAGCAAATACACTGTACAGAGTATTTAGCTGCGAGAACAGTGTAGACTTGAAATCCCTTTGCATTAATCCCAGAGAGCACTGCTGGGTTCTCTATGTTGATGTATTGGTAAGTAAGGAAATGAAAACTAAGATTCAAGATTTTTTAAGGCGGAGACTGACTTAGCATAACCTTGTGTATTTTCTTATAAAAAAAGCTTCTCATAATGTGATATAATGTTTCACAAAATGAATGGCCATTTTCTTGTGAATCTGCCTATAATAGTTAACCACTGTTTCCAGCTTGCTCTTTTTCTGCTCTTCTTGATGCTGCTGCTCCACTGCAGAGCTGATAAAACACTGAATACTCCAAATCTGTCACAGATGAAAATCACTGAAGAAGGCTAAACTTTTCTCCCAAGCTAGTTGCAACAGCAAATGTATTGTTCTAATGAATGTAAACTAGTATTATATATGTTAGCCCTAAGTTAACTGCCCATCCTATCTGCTTCTTAGCACTATTATCAGTACTAGTTCAGTAACATAAAGTAGAAACTTTTCTGGCAAAAGCTACATTTGACCTAGGCACTTTTTGGTGGAAGTTGTATACAGGTATTGAATGTAGAAGATAAACTGAATATTTGTTCCCATTAAGAAATGGAAACTGAATTTTATGCATACAAATCTCATGCATGTAGCAGCTTGATTTCCAAACTATGCCATATTTAAACCACTCTGCCACAGGGATTTTAACAGAAATCTGCAAGTCAGACTCTCCTGAGCATTATTCCCAATTCTTATTGGTCCAAAACTGAGTTTCTCTTTGTCAAATTTGGAAGTGAAAGTATGTTGAGGGATCTTACTCACAGAAATCCATTAGTGTCTATTATAAATGATTTGCAAAATGTTAAGCTGTGTGGCCAGGAAAATTAAATGCAGGATTTTGTTAAACGGAACAGGAACATTTAGACTAATACCTAAATAAATGTGAAAATTAGTTCATTAGGTGTTTAAAAAGCAGTACCATTAGCCTAATTATGGCAGATACGGTACGTACCGCGACAGTCCACGCACAGAGCAGCTGAGTGTGTGCCACTGCTGAGGGCTTTAACAGCCCAAGTCACCAGCTTATTGGAGCTTGGCATGGTTTAATAGAGAATGAAGTGTTAGTTCTGAGAAATCACACTGGGGCCTTTAGTTACTGGGTAATTACAAACAGAGGTACAGAATATTAAATGCTGTGCTTATTTAAGCAATGTACTGCTTAACATTGCATAAACACAGCATAAACAAAGACTTGCATAAAGCTGACTAGTGCAGAAGTAGTTCTGTATAGCTTCTACATGAGATATAATTGGTCATTGTTTGATTCTTCCCAGACAGATTTGCTGGTTGTCCACAACTACAGAGAATAACAGCCTTGGTATTTTCTTGCTAGTAGCTGTGTGAGAATTATGAACATCAGGACCTGTGTTATGTGAGGGATTTTACATTTAGCTTTTTTACAGTGCCAATTAACAATCTGTTGTAGGTTCATAATCACGACTGAACTTGATGAGTCTTTTTAATGTTATATTCTGCGGGGATTTTTTGTGTGAGCCATTGAAGAGCTGCTGGTACATTTAGAAGAAGACACTGTTAACATTTGTCTCTTATTCTGTTGCCTGCCTCATCCCCATTCTTTCCCCCCCTCAGGTGTCTGTATTTTCACACTTCTAAGGTCGTTGTAAGATTTCCTTTTCTAAATGGAAGATATGTATCACATGTGGTAGTGTATACTTAATGTAGATGCTTGATACCTACAGATTTTGCTGAAGCTGCTCTTGCTGAATCATTCCTTTGGAATTTTACTTTAATAGTACCTGGTGGGAGTATGATACTTGGGCTAATATGAGGTGCAAGTCATATTATTCAGTGTTTGAGGGAGACAGATTCTAGCTATAATAACAATGCTCCTGGAGAGTATTTTGGGTGGTATTTTCCTTCAGAATTCCTGGAAATTGTTTCCATTGGTGTTTGTGTTGCACAAAGCTAGAGGGAAAATAACCCTTAAATCTGTCATAAGCCTGAAAATACTGGTAGTTTGTGGTCAGATGGGAAGGTACTTGTTTGGAAGTGTCTTGTTCTGAAAGACAAAAACCCAGAAAAAGTGTTGTGAACCTGGAAGTTTCACGCTATTCAATTTAACCATGTGCCCTTTGATTGATGCATCTATATCCAGCTCCTGTGTGTAAACAAAATTTGACATATGCAACCTCAGAAGAGAAAATGGTGTGTTTCGCAAGGTCACGCAGCTTTTAAGATGAAGAACATCTCTCAAATATTTTCTGGTGGTCAGTGTACTTGGGACTTGCTGTAATTGTGTACAGACTGGAAAGAAAATAATTTCAGTCACACCACAAAGAAGCAGAAATATGGACAAAGTGAGATATGTGACAAAGGTCAAGAATATGTACCTAATAGATAGGTACATATATAGATAATAGATGCATTCTTTCTTAATAATGTAAGGCATTCCACTTCCAAGTAGTAGCTCGTGAATGTGGAGAACAGTCTCACTAAAATGTAAGCTTGTTCTCACTCTCTCTCTGTTTCCCTTTCTAAGCCACTGATGTCAGAAATAAGATTTTGGCATTTTTGAGTGTGGGTTTGATATATGTGTACAGCCTTCTCCACATAATTTGGCCCAGCAGTCTGCCGTGCTGAGCAAGGAGAATCAAAGTGTGCAATCTCTTATTGTTCCCTACTCAGTAGTGTGCTGGGGGGGAGGGAGGGTGCAGTAGGTTCTGTTGAAATTTTAGCAGTTCACTACTGAGCACTTCTCAGGATTTCCTCATGTTTTCTATTCCCCCCTAGTTTGATAAAAAATTAAGTTAGGAGTCTGTCCTTTTGGAAGAAAAGCTTCTTTGAATAAGACAAGGTCTGCAGCGTTTTATCTTTTTTTGCCATTAACTTTTTTATTTGTACATCAGTTAATTAAAAGCAGTCCTTCCTAAAGAATCCTTTGCTTCCCATAACTCGCAGATGTGCAGACTTTCTTATTTCTATAAATAAATAAATAAATTAAATAAACGGCAGGGGAGATCTTAATGCAAGGTGCTTCAGCTGAGAAAAGTGTTCATTTCTTTGTGGAGGAATTCTTGCACCATGCTTGTTACAGGTTGTGTTCCTAGCCTGTAGGCACCTCTGTAGTACAGATAAGGTTTTAGAATAGCAACTTGAACACAAACCTAGCAACAGTGCAGACATATCCCATTATTGTGTTTTAATAACAAAGATATTGTGGGGCTTATTGTGTTATCCAGTAAAATCCAATAATGACTGAAAGTGGCAGGTTAACCTCTCTGTATCCAGCAGCTGTTTGTGAAGAAATAATCTAATCACCTTTGTATTTAGCTTTCTATTCCAACTTTTTATCATTCTTTCTACACTATTCAGTCTGTCTTCATAAAGAAACTGTCTTTACAGAAAAGCTGATTTATGATTTGGTCCCAGTGCGGGAGTTTATCTCATTTTTAAATAGATTTTGAAGAACAGTCAATGCAATCAGCGTTGCAGAACTTGTTTTGCTCTCATCATCCAGCAGAGATTGATGTCATGGAGAAGCGTCCATATGTTCCTTCCAAAGAAGTTTCAAATGCTTACTCTGTGTGTGTGTTTTTGTGTGTGTGTGTGTTCTCATAGAGAACTAACAATAAGCTGTGGACAAACACATCTTTGAGGTGTCTGGCAGCCTATAGAAGGTATTGTGGTTTTGGGAGCCCTGCCTTTTTGCCTGGTGTGCAGTGCTGCTGTTCTCTTTGTTGTTCTCCTGATCTTCATGGGAAGCAGCTAAGCTAGACTCCCTCCACACACTTCACGTGCTTTATAACACTGTCGCTTGAATTAGGCTTTGACATCAGGATTTCCTTGGATCATTTTCGGCTACAAGACAAACCTGATGGTGGCTCTTTTCCTTAAGGAGAATAAATCACAGTGTGCCTTTGTAACTATAACTTCTGTAACTACCTTTTCATACTGTGTTTCTCATTGACAATTTGCGTTGCTTCCTTAAAAGCAATTCTCCCAGTTGGTTTAGTCCAGCTGATATTTTAAAAAGGCTCCTCTTTGAAATAAAGTATAAAAAATCGACTGATTTGATTTAATATTAAAGAATGAATGTGATGGGTTTATAAAGAGTATTCTGGTCATAGTCTAGTTCAGAGCCTTAGCACAAGAAGATTGAGAACAGAGGTGGTTTCATTTCAGGTTCTATTATTAAATTTTATCATTAATTTTATTACAAAGTGTATTAACTCTTCTATTTTGCATGTATAATGCAGTTAGCCGAAATCTTAATTTCCTATCTGTTTCTTTTCATGGAAGGGCTTTAAAGACAACTTTGTTTTTTAAAAACCTGTTCTGGTTATTAATTTTCTTCCTTTTCAAGTAGGTTTAAATAAAATAAAGACTTAATTTAAAGGCACTAGTCTGATTTTCTTTTTAAAGAGATTCTTCTTTTCCTCCTCAGTTATTGGAATGTGGTGGGAACATCTTTGATGCAATCTCTATCGCAGTGAAGGCAGCTCTCTTTAACACAAGGTAAAGCACAAATCTCATTTCATGTGAGTAAAAGTGGCATGGGAAATGAAACAGAAGTACTCTCTGTGAACAAAGCATTTTTAATGCTTAGTTATTTAAATAAGAAATATCCAAGGCAGCTTGCATTCAGATACAAGGCAGTCCATTTTCATGGAAGTCATATGAACTAATGTTTAGTTCAGTTTCTAATAATCAAGTGTCATATTGCATTGTGGTTGTATGCGTAGTCAGGTTCCCAGTATAACCTCTGTTCTGTAGCCAGATCCAGAAAAAAAAATGTCTTGACCCTGAGATTTTGTTGCAGGTAGTTGGAGGACTTTGTGTTGATGCCTTGTGGGTTTGAAGAAGTATTAACTGATATGTGATGCTCTTGATTAGGAAGCCCTCTGTCAGTGTGATTACTGATTTATAACTAGCCTTGATTTTCCACTTCTGATTTCATTCTCATTAATGATGATAGTGAGAAACTGTGGTGAGGGGGAAATGATGTGTCTTTAAAAGAACTTTGATCCATGCATTTTAATTCAAAGAATGGAAAACCAAAATCTGTAGAATGAATGATGCAGATCCTCTGTGTGGTTTTTAATGGTAAGTTTCGCTCATATTTTTGCTATTGTTTTTATCTTCTTTATCTGTAGGTGGGAAGGGAGTACAGAGTATTGTAGCACCCTTGAGAAAAAAAGCTAGTGATTGGCTTTGCTAAAAAACTTACATGACAGCAATAGCTGGAAGAGGTGCAAAACTTAGATTCTTACAAGCATGAATTTTTTAAAAGTGGATCTCAAATTGTTCTTCAGCATTAGAGATCTGCTAAAGCCACTAGTGTGGTTCTGGCTTATTTATCAGGGAATCAGGCACAGTAATAGATCTGGAAAAGTATGTGCAAAAAGAAGAGGAAAATATGCTTTTGAAGACAGGCAGTATGTCAGGTCATAAACACTTTAAAAGAGGGTGAGGGAAGAATCCATCTGAGACCAGAACTTGTATATGTTGCTGAGAAATTTCGCATGTTAATCAAATTCTCAGCAGTAACTTTTAACAGTAGATTGTTTTTATAACATTAAGAAATACTGTCACTAATGTAATGGCTCACAAAGGAGTTGGCAGTACACTAAAGGGAAGAAGTGCTGTGGTTTTGCCTGGATGCAAAAGTTAGTTAAAACAGTTACTACCATGTAAGTTGTTTTGCAGATCCAAGGCACATACTTTATTTATAAGATAACTGGGTCTTTTTTCTTATTTTAACCAGAATAAAGAGAGACGATCATATAAAAAGTAATGAATTAAATAAGCAAGTAGAAAAAAATGTTGCTTTGGGAATATGGGCAACATGGAGGGTGTAATTATTCTGATGATTCTGCTTTATTGTTCATTTTTCTGCCAACTTGTGTCTTTTATATAATCTGTAATCTAGAGAAAACATTCAGAGTCTTGTTCAAGTTGGGTATTGTATCAAAGTGGGGTACAGGATGACATAATGGAGAGCCCTGTCGATTTTTTACCTGTGAAAACTTTGTTTTACTGAGTTTAGCCATACATCTAATCTCATAAAAGATCAGAAAGTCAGGAGGTGAAATTCAAAGTGAAAACCTATTGTCCTCCTTCACTATTCCTCTCACTTTCCCTTGGTAGCTACTAACTTTCTTTGGATTGACGACACGAGGCCATTTAAGAGTAGCTTCCCGTTCTCTGTAAAGTCTTATTGTCCAAACAAGACGTCAGTTTGAAAATCGCTTCAGATTAAGTGTTCTGAACTTTGCTTGACGTGTGTCCCTCTTTGAGTCTTACTTGCTTTTCATACTTTGTTTACAACCAGGTTTTCATTAGAAGTGTTTCCAGATCTTTGCCAGCCTTGACTGCAGCCTTGAAACAATGAGCAGAGAGCTCAAGCTGTTGTTTTTCTTTGAAGCTACAAAATTTTAGATATTCAGATAGGCATTTGAAAACTTCAGCTTCATCTTTAAAATCTTGCTCTAAGCATTTCTCTAATAGCTATGGACACATTTTTCTTTAGAGCTAAGTAAATGCAAAATCGTGATTTAAGGAATTTTACAAAAGACCGGCAGGATATAAATCCTTTGAATGCCTGGCGTGACTCATTGTATCCCCTTCAGGCATGGAACAATGACAATATGACTGTTTTAGGGGGAACATTTGCTCCTTGCAGGTTTGTATTGTTCACCATGTTCTAAAAGCCCTATCAAGATCATGTGCAAAAGATAGCAGGCATCCGACTTTCTTCTTACCCGTCTCCAAGGTGTTTAAGGATGGATTTATTCACGATGGAAGTAGATATTGCAAAATATGCAATATTAGCTACTGTGTCAGGACATTAAACTTGGTTCTGTGGAATGTGCCTACTTGCCACAGAGGCTGCAGAAACTAGGCAAGTTACAAAACCCACAGAGTTTATAACACAACAGCTTTGCCCATATCGCGGTTTTTTGCCGAACAGCACGGTAGAGGCAGAACTGATGCGTGCTTGCAAGGGCAGAACTGGTTTTGCAGTTGTGAAATCTGGGTCTGCAGCACACAGAAAACAGCATTGTTTGTTACTTGACGGAGTCTCGCTGTACAGATTTCTGCCCTGATTAGTTGCAGGAATCAAAATAGAAAAATAAAAGCTGCAAAGTAAACATGTACAGCTACTTCTTAAGATAAATATTCACAAGCTGAGAGAGGAAATCTCCAATGTTCTGGAAATAGTTTGTGCTACATTCCCTTTTCCTAGTTTCTGTGTCCGTATACTCCCTTTTTATGCAACTACGATGCTTGTGTCTGATCTTTCTGCCATTGCAAAAGTTCTAATTTACACCTCTTTCATCTGTGCTTGGCCAAAAAAGCTCCTTGCAAGCGTTTTTCAGGTATTAATTCTGGCAACTTTTTCTTGCAGACCAAACACTGCTCTGGTTTCATGGCTATTTTAGTATGGAGTTAAAAATTGCTTAATCTCACAGATTTTCTTGAAATGTTACTTTGTTTTTTAAACACTGCTCTGGCACATACACTTCTTGACTAGGCTGTTTTCCCAGTGTTGTCCACTGTCCTGCTTAGCTTGAGGATCAGTCACCTTGTGACTTTATTCCGTCCATTTTTAATGGAATATTTTGTACTTGAAAATAGGCTTCGAGGCATTTCTAATGAGTTTGAAAGCATTTGGAGTTTTGTTTCAGGAAAAAGTACACTTCGCAATTGTTCTGCTTACTCAAAGTCTTAGTTTTGGCTTGGCCCAGGCCATTGGGCCTGTAGGGAATTTGTTGTCACTGGAGCAGGGTTAGCTGCTGTGAAGTACTTGCCACTAAGATTTTTAGCTAACTAATATAATATAATAATATATTAAACTAATATATATAAACTAATATATTATTTAGCTAACTAATAACTAACATACTCTTCCAGGGAACAATAAAATGTCACTTTGTATTGGTAGGGGAAATGTTCATCAAATCAGTCCCTATCTCTTCCTCTTCCAAAAGAAGAGATTTCTTAGAGACAGCATAAAAGAATGTAACCTCCAGAGTCTAATTATAAACACAGTGCTACTGTAAAAGTACTAATATAAAACCAGACTGTGGTTACTGAAGTTAGCTGTCAGGGGATGTCTTGAAATATTTTGTTTTCAAGTGCAAATATGTGGAAAAAAAAGGAAAAAAAAGTAGTATGGGAGCTGGGGGGGTTTTACTGGCCAGTAATGCAAAGTTTCTCTATCAGTTTTCCATCCTAACGGGCACCTGGATAAATGAGGGTATGTAAGATGCTGATGTTCTTGGCAGCTTGAGGTACCATCTTCTACTAAATCGTTTTAAATTATTTTATTCATTATGCTAAGAAAAGTGCCTCCCATTAAATGTCTGTCACAAATACAATATATGTACCACTGATAAGGAGCCCATCTAGTTCATTTGTGAGGGAGCTCATCATTCACAACTGAGAGGAGAGCATTTCTTGGATTTCTGCCTGGTTTTTATTCCTGCTCTGTCCTTGTATGTTATATATCCCTTGTATATCTGTCCTCACAACAGAAGAGTCTTCTGGCTTCTGGAAGAATGAGAATATCCTCCCAATCTTTCCATCTCGCTAAAGAGAAAGGATTTTGCTAATGTTGTCTTTCTCTTTACCCCAAGTCTCCCTTAGTTAGTGTTGCTCTTTCCTGAAGGGCTTTACTACTTGTATTTGCTACTGATGTCACAGCTTTGCCAAGGAATGTAATTACTGTAATTCTGTCGACTTTACTGTTGCTTGCAAAGTTGGGAACCACGGTATGAAAGGATTCAGTCTTGGTAATTTCTCTCCTATACATCCAGGCAGAAGTACAAAGAATTATTCAGACCTGATTTGTGCAAATTCCAAAAGAATCTCTCCCCACATAATAGGATAAAAACCAACTCAAAATCTGATGGTCTGAGTGATATAAATATGATGATCCTATCCAAATGTCTTTGCACTTACAGTGTTTTCTTCCTAGTCTTGGAGAGTGAGTTGTTAATACTTTGATCACATTCTGGATTTTTTTCCTAAACATTTTGCCTCATTTAGAAGAAAAGGCACTTCCTGGAGTTGTGACTGTATAGCAGCTTTATTTGTTATCTGTTCTGGCAATGATTTTGCACGTTTTGTTTCCACAGAATACCCAAAGTGCGTGTTCTGGAGGATGAAGAAGGCACCAAAGAGATTGAGCTGTCGGATGACCCTTACGATTGTATTCGACTTAATGTAGAGGAGGTGCCCTGTATTGTCACGCTGAGCAAAGTGAGCATGATAAATTTCTGACCCTCTGCCTAGAAACTTCAGTTTCTTTTAGTATCACCTGCCATTTATTATTTCCCTAGAGATAATATTTGTGTTACAGAAACGGTCAGTGTCCACTATGTAGATATTTGTTTGTCTTTGACCTCCTAATTAGAAAGAACTTTTACTGATTAAGGGGGTTTTTTTGCAGGTCTGACTTGTGGGTTTCTACTTGATGCGTTTATACGCATCTTCTTGCATGCAGAAGAATTGTTTATTGTTTTTTATCTGCTCCTTGCTTAACATAGCAGCAGATACTTCAGTATGTTAGAACAAGTGGCTGTTGTGGGGGGCAGAGGTTGTGTCATCTGCCTGGAATTACGTGATGAGTATTTGTTGCTGGGGACAGAACTCCGATTTCGTGGGCGCAGTACCGTGCCTTCCCTTTCAAACAGGTTTTCCATATGTAGCACACAGCTAACACAGTTGATTTTAGGGATGCTGCAATTTCCATTGCAAGTGTTAGTGATTTGCTTAGTTACCTGAAAGTTTGTGTGGCCTTTCTTTTAAGCAAGTTGCATAAATAGCAGAGGCCATTGCTGAAGTGAGGGCTCATCTGAGTCTCGGGATGTGTAATTTTCACCTAGAGGGGAGCAAAGTCCACACTTGGAGCTGGGGGGGAAATGGGAATAGGGAGTTTCATATAGATGAAAGACAGTAGAGAGGAAAACAGTATGAAGTAGTGACATGGTTATCTCACCTCTGTTGTGTATGTACACAGTTTGGAGTCAGAGGCTGTTTAAATACTGTGCTATCAAGTCAGTCTCAGACCACTTAAAAAGGCCACATGATATTAGGATATGAGACTGTAGATAACTAACAAAGCTGCCACTCACAGGTTAACTTCTTAATGGAAGGCCTTAGCAAACTGTGAATTAATACATCATTTTGTCACTAACTTACAGATTGGATATAGGCACGTGGTGGATGCTACCCTTCAGGAAGAAGCCTGTTCTTTGGCAAGCCTGCTTATTTCTGTGACCAGTAAAGGCGCCCTCACTTCTATGAAGAAAGTGGGGAAAGGTAGCCTGGATCCCGAGAGTATTTTTGAAATGATGGAGGTAAGGAGTTTTGAGCAGCTGACTGTCTTGGATGATACTGGATGAATGAGAGCTTGTGTATATGGAAAGCTGCAGTAAGGACTTCTATAGCAGAAATCTTGATGGTTTGATGAGGTGCACAAGGGACTTTGTAAAGGTCACAGGTGGTTTCTTTGAAAAAAATTCTAATGTGAATGGATGTTATCTAAAACTTCTAGGTGCCTGAAATGTATGGTACTCACATATGTTTCAGGTGAATACTTCACAGCTGTAAGGCAGTAAAGCTTAAGCTGATAAACTTTGAGAGTATTTTTGAAGAACGTGTTCCCTCTTTTATAGTTTCTCTTAAAAACTGAAATAGCAAAACACCTAACATGGTATAGTCCCTATAAAAGTAGAGATGGTGTTTTTGAATTGCTAGTGCATGGTGTTCTCTTCCAGCACAACTCATTTGTTTTATTATAAGCTTACTGTTCTCATTTTACTGTTTTTCTTTTCTTCTTCATTGAGTTTCTGATCTGCCCCTATTTCTTAAAAATACTAGTATCTGGATCTTGTCCACATCCGTGTAAGAATTCCATTTTAAATCTTTCTTCAGGCTCTTCTTAAATATGTTCTGCAGTGTAAATTCTCATGCCTGAGTTTGGCCTTGAGCGTGAGACAGAAATGGGTTTTGAGCTTGGAAATCAGGATGAAAATTAGATACTTCAGGCTGACTCTGTTTCCAAGAGATACAGGACTAATTTCAGCCTGGCTGTAGTGAGGAATGCAGAAGTTGGAGCCAAGTTTGACAATAGTTGGTCTCAAGTGGAAATTATGTGCTTAAGTATATATGGCACTTGACTGTGTCATGATGTCAATACAGAGTGCTAATCTTGGTGGTACCAGTGGGGTTTTCATTTGTGTTCAGAGATGTTGCTTTCTCCCTTATCTTGATAGAGAGGTGTTATCTCTAATCTGGCACCCTAAAGAAACCTAACTTCCTGTGGGCATCTGATGTGTCTTCCTTGATGGATTTTGTGTCTAATGCTGACTAAATGTCATAGAAAACTTGAAGTTTTGGGTCTAGGGCTGCTAGAGAGATTGGTGCTTAAGTTAGATACAGGTTCATGAAGAAGCTGGCCTCAGTGCCAATTCCCTGCACCAAGCTTTGATGGAGCTTCTGTTTTGATCACCAGTTTCACTCTACATTGAGCCCTAAACAGGAAATGAACTTCTGCAGTTCCGTAGTATCCCCCCCCACCAAAGGCTGTGCCTGGGGTTATGTAATGCACTTCTAAACACTGGTCAGAGATGCATATGGAAGGTAACCATGGGAAATCTTCAAACCATCCTATTCTGCGAAGAACATTAGTGAACTTGTCCCTGCTTGTTGGTGCAGGGAGTTACAAGCTTAAGCTGATCACTTGTGCCATATTTCACGTGCTTTGGAAGAAGCCTTCCCTCCTGAATATTGAGGAGTTTGAAAGAGAGAAAGTTGATCAAAAAAACCCCAATATATTTTCTGGAAAGTCAAGAGTTTATCTGCTTGACCCTGCCCTAAACTCAGCAGCCTGATTAGGATACCAAGAAAAACAAAAAGGCCTGGGAATATCCATTGGAGAAGATGCATAACCCGTGTTTGACACCTCCATTCCATAATGATTTGGCTGCAGGTCAGAGTGTCAGCTTTCCCTGCCTTGTAGTAAACAGACGTTCTAGGGCATATCTCTTAGTAAGGGAGTTTCATGGGAAAGTTTTGGGAAGCTGCCAGCATTAGGCTTTATTTTCCTAAGTTTTTGTGATCTGATCCATTAGAGAGGCGAGCAGGATTAAGAAACCAATAGCCTTGTGTCAATACCAAAGTTCTGCACAGTTCCCATTCACTTTGACCTGGTGTGAGTGACATTGTCCTACATTTGAGGAGTAGAACGCAGAAAGTATATCACTACTTGGGACTCCAGATTGCTGCAGTGATCTTTGTCCTAGTGCAGAACTGTTGGGACAGTTTATTGCCCCCTTTATTTAGCATGACTCATAGTATCTAGGATTGACAGCTACCCTGCTGCATCAAAGCTCTTCCCAAACTTCCTTTGGTACCATGGGCCATGTTCTGTCACCTGGTTCTTCAATTAAAAATGTATCTTATTTTAAGGTTTGTGCACCCGTGGCTCAATAATTGTCACTATCAGGCGAAAGAGAGCTTTGTGTCAGCTGTATGGCAGGCCTAGGCTTCATTGCGTAGATCAGGAGCTAACAAACTCAGTTTAATATAACCTGCCTTTGGCTCTTCAGGGATAGGTGGGCTCTCTTGATCTCTGTATGGAGTCTGTATTTCAGATCATTTAGAGGAACCCTGGGAAAGCTTTAATGGGCACCATTGCCTTAAGATCTTTATTTCAGCATTGCCCGATGTTTCCTTGCTCTGTAGCTTCCACAGTACAATTGGTGGGGGGGTAGGGGGAAAGAGAGTAGAGGCTGGTGTCAGAGCTAATCCTGATGGTTTTCCACTGCTGGAGTTTACTTTTGTAAGGAAGACATTGTGTTAACCCCTTGGACAGTAAAGAATTGCAAGTCATATGAATGATCTGCCCACAGACTGATTTGGTGATGCAGCCATTGTGCATTTAGCACTTTTCTGGCCATAGAACACAGTGTTGAGCTAGTCTAAATTCACTCTGCTGATTCTGAGCACCTTCAGAAGAGTTCACTGAATTTTCTGTTAGTAGGCTTCTCTGCTGGTCAGGTGTCTCTTGTCCTCTGGCAGCTAGAATATTGCTTCATGCTGTGTGCTGGCTAATTTGAGTATGTGCTTGTGCCTGATGTGAATTTAATTTGTATTCCTGGATGATCCAGCGGTGCACAGATCTGGTATTAATGATCATGGAATGCTTCTCTGATGAATGAGAGCACTGCCTTTATGGGTGCATTTTTCCAAAACTTAATCAAATTAAAATGAAACTTCCACCACCATTATTTTTCTTAATTAAAAGCGTATTTTGGTGATACCAGCTGGTGTATATGAATCATCAAAGGGAAAATATTTGTCAAAAGGAAGTGTTCCGTAAGAGTTGTCTCCTGTTAATAAGCATATGTCTCAGATTTGTTTTGCTTTCTTTGCATTGCAGACAGGACAACGAGTAGGCAAGTCACTGCACATAGCCCTTCAGAAGATTTTGGACGAAGAAGAGAGTTTGGGGACATCACGGCCAAAAGTTGGATTTCTAGGATGAGATTTTATTAAATGTTCGAAACTGTTTTTAATTAATTGTGCAATCTTGTGCGTTTGTATATAAAGAAAAGATTGGGGTTTTTTTGTTCCAGTACAGTTCTCATTCCGGCTAAGAGGCTTTTAAAATTTTCCTAAGCATTTCCACACGGGTCGCTGTTCGCACCTGGGAAGGGCACCAGCAGCAATTGGTGCCACTGCTTGGGAAGCTCTTGAGTCTCCTTTCAAGAGTGACTGGTGTAGGTTCCACTTAATTCTGTTACCATGCCTTCCACTTCTGTAGACCAGATGCTGTGTTCTAGAGCGTATGTGGGGCTGTGCAGCACTAATGAGAATAGCACTAGGTGGAAGCCTTCCTTCAAACTCCCACTAAAATGTGGTTAGATTTTACTATAAATAAAACGTGTTCCCAGGTTTCCAATTTGTATTTTAAACCACGATTTCATTGCTCACTGGAGCTCTACCCGTCCCTTTTGCCAGCAGGTGCAATAGCAGCCTAGCCACAGCTTCTCACAGTGGCTAAGGAGAAGAGGCATGGCTAAGGTAGAAGGGAAAAGGAGTTAATTTTTAAGAGTCAGACAATTCAGCTGGAAAAGCGCAGTGTCTGTCAGTAATGATCCTTCACAGGGAAAGACAGAAGATGGCAGATAAGGCATGCTAACAAGTTGTATCACCAGGTGTTGAAAGCAGTGGATTCCCTCCCTACATCAGTTGGTTGGCGCAACAAAGAGTAAGAGCTGTTGATTTGGCAGGATAAGAAGAGACAACAGACGGAAGAAATCAATGGAAGAAGTTGATTTTTAAGTTAATACTTTGGCTGCATGTATTAGAAGGATTGTTCTGAACAAACATTATGGCAGAAGTTATTACAATAATCCAGGAGTAATGTTTTCTGAATTTCCTGTTTTAATTTTATTATATCAGATTAAGAATGTTCTCTTGACTGTAACGTTTTTGATGGGAAAAAGGGGAAGGGCCAAGATTGGTATTTTAAAGAGTTGGGATTTTTTCAGTACCTTAAGTGATGGGTTAGGTAGGTTATGATGGTGCTACATAGTAATAGAGCCAAAAAGTGACAGTCAGTATACGTAGTCTTTAATCACTTCAGTAGAGTTATTCTGTGTGAGGCAAACACTAACCTGAGATCAGCTTTACAGTAGCTGTGATCCATCCTTGCCATTCAAGGTACTTGTAAAAACATGAAAGAAAACTGAAGGGAGAAAAAACATTTAAAGTACCTTAAACTTGTCACAGTCAATTTTTGTTTGATCATGTGTTGTTTAATGTTTCAGAAAATGGTTAATCTAAATGAGGTTGCAAGTCCTGAACCTCAGCCATTTTCTGAATAGCTGTTGCCTGTTTTATTACAGATTTTTGGTTGGATACCAAAAGGCTGCCCTGAGTGACGCTCAGGATGAATTTTGTAACATGGTATTAATAGTGTATTTCTCTGTAGCCTTCCAGCTGAAGGATCTCCAAGCATTTTGCAAGTTACATCATTTAAGATGCTTCTTGTCCCCCTCTCCAGATCCTTTTAATTTTAAACTTAATTTCCTGAGAGCTGGAGGGGTGGTGGGAGTAACATTACTGTGTTTCAACTGACCCTCTGTGGAGGTGAATATATGTGCACTTCCTCCCCACTTCTTACTAAGGATATCAACTATTCAGCTGTCTGAGATTCAGGATACTTATGTGCTCAAGATACCTAGGAAGAAAAGTCTTGGTACCTCAGCATCTGTGTTTGATGCCAGCCCAAGGAACAGCTGTCTATACAAAAATGGCTACCTTGGTCACAAAATATTCGGTGCCAAGCACTTCCTCAGAGCAACACTCTAAATTAACCTGGTGAAAGCATCTGCAGCACCTCCCCTAAGCATGCATGTCCTCCCCCAGGTCTTCTGTAGCTGGGTAAGGCAGGCACAGAATGCACTGGGGCTCTCAAGGGGTCCTGTTCCTCCTGTACTCACTGCTTCCCATCTATTGGCTTGGAAAAGCAGTGGGCTGGAGTGTGACCCCAGTTCAGACTGGGTCTGCTTCAAACCCTGAGATATAAATAATGAGCAAGCCCAGCCAAAAGTATTAGACAGCTGCTAGTTGGTCTCAGCTGCCCCTGGAGGTTTGTTGCTACCAGCTCATGTCCCAGATGGATAAACAAAGCTCTGACAGGGGTAAAAGGTCCTGCAGCTCTCCCAGCTGATACATTATCTGCCAAGAAATCTTTGAGACTGTGGTTCTCAGGCATGCTAAGGGCTATGCTGCCCATTTCCATTTTCTTAGTTCCCTTTAACCCCTCCCTTCTATTGCAGATTTTTAATAGAGACTTCAACTGAGAATGCTCCTGTTCCCGTCTGGGCTGGTGGAAAGTTCCATGTGTTGCTGTGCAGATACTGCCACGTTTTCATTGACTCGAGTCCAGTAGAACTAAGAGGAAACATCTGTGGAGAGGGATAGCTCTCTGTTTGTCCCAGAAATTAATTGCTTCTGCTGGGAGTGTCAAGAGGCTGAAAGCTGTGTACTAGAGGTGAGGAGTCTATCAGCTCCTGCTAGACTTTTACTCAAGTTGCCTAAAAAGCGCACACTTCAAATTTACCTGCTTCACAAGGGCAGTCTTCTTGGAGCAGGAGAGGGCTAGGCTGTGGGTCAGTGGAGCTGGCAAGTTTACCAAGCTCGGGAATCCTGTCAGCCAGCGTTTTGCAACTGCAGTTCAAAATTGCAGCTGTGTGGTTTGGGGAGGAGATGGGAGCTTGTTCTGCCCTGTGGGCAGAGGTGGAGGCAGCGGGGAAGAGTGAGGCTATGCCACGTACAGGCAGGCTTTATATGAAAGCTTGCTTCATCACAGCCTGGTGTAAAGACAAGCTGGCGTGAACCAGAGCTTGCTCACAGCTCCTGTGAGACTGGCATGTGCAGATCTCTCTTTCAGGGATTTTGCACTCTTATTCAACATTAATAATAAGGTTTTTCTGCATTTTCTTTGTAAATAGGAATTAACTGAGATTTACCCACTTCTGCTAGGACTCCAGCTTTTCTTTTGAACTTCAGCAGGTGCCACTGCCCTCCTCACCAGTGCGATGTTCTCCGGCCCTGCTGTGGTTATGGTTTACTTTGCCTGTGGTCAGCAGCCACTGAGACCCAGAGAGTGGAAGAAGCAAAGCTATGACTGATGAGACCTGTGTGCTCCAGTCCTTACCCCAGAGCCTCCTTTCCTCTAACACACTTGAGCAATTAAATGCAAGAGCAGATCTGCAAATGGTACTGAATCTCTTCAGCCATCAGCCTCTGTGTTATTTCTCCCTGCTCCCCAGTTCCTTGTCTCCTAGTGCACTCCTGCATGATTGCACTCCCTGCCCACGTGAGGTAGCTTTTCCTTCTAAGCCAAAATGTGGCTGCTCCTGTTAGCTGTGCCTCGCAGAGGCTTCTTTTCCTTTGCTGAGGTACCAGACTCCCAGTGATAGTGCTAGGCCACAGCAGGGCACTTTGGTACGTGTCTCCCCACAGAGAAAGGGCAGTGCTTTGGTTTTTCCTTGGATAAACTGCATTTCCAGCTATCCAGTAACAAAGACGTTTTTGCTGTTCCTGCAAAATAACATTAGAATCTCAAACATGCTGTTAATGACTCCCTGGTGATGGTTTCAACCTCAGTTTCATCGACTGGAACACTTTTTAATAAAGCTGTGATTATCTTACGAGCTCTGTGAACGTCTCTGATGCTATCCTGTTCTCAAAATTTGGGTAAGATCAGCAGCACAGGCACGCCTGAATTTTCAAGTCACACCATTTGTTGACGAGGTGATCTCCCTCGTTTAGACTGATATCATCATAGCTGCTGCAGCCCCTCAGCTTGTACCTTCAGAGGGGTAAGAGGAAATGAAATCTTGGCCTTTTCTGATGATGGTTTTCTGATGTGCAGAGACCCTTCTCCACTCAGCCAGCAGGGCAGGGACCACAGCCAAGCCAGTTGTGCTCAGGTGTTGGAGGTACTTGGAGCCACCAGCCTGCAGGCCCCCTCTTCCAGAGGAGCTCTCCCACTTTCACGCTCTCTCTGTGTTTTGGCAAATGGTAAGTTTTGGTACTTCCATAGTTGGAAACATATGGATTGAAAAGTCATGATTTAAGTCCTACCTCTCTTCTTTCCCTCCAGAGAGAGACCAGCTTTAACCTGATGAGGCTTTTCAAGGGCAGGGATTGCTTTCTTCCTGCTGTCTGATCATGCAAACTTTTCTCTAACTTAAAAAAATAAAGCAATTAATGGTGCTGAAGTTGAAATTCTCTTACAATCCTGACTTCAGCACCCACAGCAATATGAAAGCAAACGAGTTGCTCAAAGGTGGGAACAATGTGCAGTAAAAGCATAAGCTGACAGAACCTCTGCTCGCCAGTCCTAAAATAATGACTTCAATGGTGACTGCATTCGAACTGATGCTGTGACAGGCAGTTTTGTGCAGCCTGCTCAGCGAACCTACACAATTAGGAGTTCCTCCAGAGTTTTGGTGTTAGATTTAGACACTTGACTGCAGTTTTCCTTTAGCTGTTTGGACTTTGGCAAGTGGATGATGGGAAGAAAAACAAAGCAGTAAAGACGACTGGATTTACCCCTAGCCCCAGGAGGTGCATCCTCCAAACAGAAGGAAGCGTGAGTCCTTTGGTGCAGTTCCTTTGGAAACAGGAGAATTTTAAGCAGCTGATACTACATGAGTTCAAATTCTCCTCATTCGGGTTCAGTTTAGGGCCTGAGGATCTACTGTAGCATGGATCCTTCTGTGACCGCTGGTGAATGTGAGGAGGGGATGTGAGCCATGCTTGCCATGGGATGTGATTAGAAGGTTCCCTCCTTAGGCTCTGAGCCAGTTTCCTAAAGTTGATGTTTGGGATAACATTTTGGCGAAGTGCTGACTCCTTGGTTTTCCTCATAATTGTCCTTACGAAAACCACCCTTTCCTGAACTATTATTGCATTTATTCTCAATTGGCCTCAAAAACAATGATCCATAGATTTGGCTCTTTCCATTTTAACCTATTCCAATGTTTATGCTGCTGGAGATC